AGGGGGAGGGGGACAAGCTAGGTGCGCTCGCGTCATATCTGACGTCCTACCCCTCCCTCCCATCCCTTACCATGGCGCTGATTTTCTCTATCCGCGGACGCGTGTCGTAGCGGACCTGTGGCTCCGCGCGCGCGTGCGTAGTGGGTGGTGGTGCGCGTGCGTGCGTGCGTGCGTGTGTGCGTGGTTGTGTGGTGGTGGTGGTGGTGGTGGTGGTGGTGTGGTGGTGGTGGTGTGGTGGTGGCTGGGTGGTGGTGGTGGTGGTGGTGGTGGTGGTGGTGGTGGTGGTGGTGGTGGTGGTGGTGGTGGTGCGGCGCGGTGGTGGCGGGCGGATGGGCGCGCGAGAAAGAGGCCCGCGCTGGGGCGAGAACGCCATCCTGAACGACGGAGGCCAAACACCGATCCGAAAATGAGGCCCACGCTGCAGCGGGAGCACGATTCGGAACGATTCGGGAGCAGAAATGAGGCCGGCGCCTCAGCGAGAGCAGCATTTTGAAGAAAAAAACGCAGGCGAAAACCCAACTCCCGGGAATCCTGTGCGTAAAAAACAATACGCGGGGGGGGGTCGGCCACTCCCAGCACGCCATCAGGGGAAGAGGGAGAGTAGTATTCATATTGAGTAATTGTGGAGGAGGAGGAGGAGGAGGAGGAGGAGCGACACTGGCCAGCAAGGGAAGGGCGAACAAGGGAAGCAGGACGATCCAAGCAGAGAAGAGCGAGAGACAGCAACAATGGATGAGAGACAATCCGCTGCCCTTCAAGAGGGCTATCCCACCATCGGACAGCGAGGCGAGCCACAACGCAGCGGGGACTCACGACCCCGTACATCTACCATACATACAAATTACGGATAGAGGCATCTCTCCGTGCCAACTGCGGCAAACGAGCCTCGGCATGCTTCCGCAACCGGGCCGAAGTTTTAGAAGAGTGTTTTAAATCATGGTAGGCTTTGCTGTATATGTCGAGGGCGGAGGCAAGCGTCTCGTGAGGCATGGGAAAATGACGCCAATTACACAAGCGGCCTTGCCTTCCACCGTACTGGAAGAAGTTAGGGAAAAGGGGGAAAAGGAGAAGAAGAGGTTCAAAGGTGGGGCAAACAACAATGGGCCTCAGACAATCGGCCCAGGGGACATTGCATGCGCGGCAGCGCTGTGCAATCCCGAAGCGACCGGTCGTGCACAACGTGCGAAGGAAGGAGGAGAGGACACACAGAGGGAGGAAGGGAGAAAGCCTGGTGATTACCGTGGTCAGGGACATCTCCTGATCCTGAGTGAGGTCAGGGTCAAACTTCCGAGCACGTCGCACAAGCATTGTGTTGCACGAGTAGCTGGAAGAATCGATCAAAAGGGCGTCAACCTTTTCTGACGGTGGGAGGAAGGAGGAGGGAGGCCCGGCAGAGAAGAAAGGGAATGCCAGTTTTCGAGCATATGTAGAAAATGCGATTCCCGCCAAAGCGGCTGGAATTTCCATGCAATGACACAGTCGTCGGAGGCAAAATCTTCGAGGAGGGACTTGATGTCAAAGAACGCTTTAGAATGCTCGGCAGCACGGAACAGAGCAGCCCGACCAGCGTGCTCCAGGCACCTACCTTGGAGGGGAAGGCCGAGGGAGCGGAGGGAGCAGAGGAAGGGGGAAGGGAGGGCGAAACGCGGGGCAGAAATCACAACCTGCAACATGTCACGCTCAATCCGAAGCGCATGCTGGGTTGGGGAGGAGGAGGAGGAGGAGGAGGAGGAGGAGGAGGAGGAGGACGGCAGCTTTTAGCGCGATCCGAGAGCGCCTGACCGCCTCCCCATCGACTTCCGCCAGTGGGATGGGCACGGCCAGGCGCCCTTCGGGCTCCTCCGCCTAGCTTTTTTTTCCGCAACGAAATCGCTTGAAGGTTCGAGTCGATCGCTCCGCCACTCTTGAAATCCGCTGCCCCTCTAGAGGGCTATCCTCCCGGACGCAAGCCGACAGCAGTGCAATGAAGAGGGCAAAACCTTCCAGTAGCCCCGGGCTCGGGTAAACGGGAGAGGACGAGGACGAGGAGGAAACAAGCGGGGCGGGGAGGAAGGAGGAGGGGAGACAGCCAGACAACTTATTGAAATCAGTAGACCATCCCAGCTCAGATGATCTATAAATCGAGCACGCTGAACTATAGAGAGCGTGCAAGCAAACCCCAACGGCGTGAGACTGGCAAGGCACAGAGTTGCACCCCAATGGCAACTGATTTGCACCCCAATGGCAACTGATAGACTAAGTGGTGGATGAGGCTGTCCACACGGACGTGCCGCGTGGAGGCGGCTGGCCAGCGAAGGCAGCGCGGGCTAGCAACGGCTCCCGGGAGGGAGGGAGCGGCCGACAAGACCGGGCGGCACGTCAGTGGCCCACCCCCGCGTGCAACCGGCGCAAGTGCCAATTCTTCGCACAAGAGCGGCCACCCCGGCGCACTCCGTGCCACGTCCCGCGGAGAGGAGGAGGAGGACGGAGGAGGAGGAGGAGGAGTAGGAGGAGGAGGAGGAGGAGGGGGAGGAGGAGGAGGAGGAGGAGGACGAGGAGGACGATTTTGCGCTCCTGTCGAGCGGCCTGGGCCTTAGCGGCCTCCAGTGCCCCGCCAGCTAGGCTGCCCCGTGCGGGTCCGGAGGCCCCTGAAAACGGAGGAACTCGCACGAGGCGGAACTCGCATCCCCTGCCTCGAATGCCACCCCCCCGCGTGGGGCCCCACACCCGAAAAAGGAAAGGGACCGCCCCGACGACGACGGCGGCAGCGACGGCGACGGCGACGGCGACGGCGACGACGGCGACGGCGACGGCGACGGCGACGGCGACGGCGAGACGACGACGACGACGACGAAAACGACGACGACGACGGGGGAAGGGGGAAGGAGGCAGGGGGCCGCAACAGCAGCGGCAAGAGGAGGGGAGGGGAGAAGGAAAAGAGGGGAGAGAAGCGGTCCCCTGCCCCCCGGGCGAAGGGCCCCTGGGGAGGCGGTGGGCGGACAGAGCGTGCCCCCCTGGGCCTCCACAGCCGCGGATGGACCTGCCGGCGCGGAGCCGCCGATCGGCGCCACGATTCGGAGGGAGAAAGACGAAGCGGAGGGAACGGAGCGGAGGAGGGCGACGGTGCGCCCAGAACGGGCGTTGTCGGCGTTCTCGTCCCCCACGGCCGCGAAGCTTCCTGCACGCGCGAGCGCGCTGGGGCATGCCGTGTGAAACGGGCAGCGCGAAGGCACAATCGGCATATGAGCTACGTGTCAGAACAATGGCCTCATAGACACGGGTAACACTGCAACCCTGGTGGTCGCCACGCTGCCTGCGACGCACTGCCTGGAGCAGAGCGGCGGGCTAGACGACCCACACATGAACGCGCGGGAGGAGGAAGGAGGAATCGGCACTACAAACTACAATCATCATCAGACAAGTTCTCGGAGTTTCAGCCTCAGTGCGTTGCGGCACTCAAACGGCCCGCTGGCGGCCGAATGGCGGGCCCAACAGCGCGTGAGGTACACCCCGCACGTGGCCAGAGCACGGCGTCGCAGCGCTGGCGCAGTGTCCTCGGAGTACGCCGGCTCGAGCAGCAGGAAGCTGGCCAGGCGTAGTTTTGGCGTGGTCGGGCGCGCGATGCCCACTTCGCGATACACTGCTGCAGACACGTGTGGGCACTCTGCGTAATGCTCGATGGAATCTTCCCCGGCTGCGCAGCCGAAGTAGCACGCCGACCGCGCCTGGAAGCGGCGGCTTGTGACCCAGCCATTCCAGAGTGACCGGATGCAAGCGGCCAGCGCCCGCGGAGGGCACGTCTGGGCCACCGCGGGGAGCGTCGTCAGCACCCTGTCCACCATGGTTCCCACGGACAGGCCGCTCTCCCACCGCGATAATCTCGCCTGCAGAAAAGCACGCAGCTCGGGAGAGCGATCGGGAGCGATCATCCGCGCGCAGGTGCGCTGCCAGACCCTGCGCTGTCGATCGCTGCTGCTGACCCCCGTGGCGAGGGCCACTCGCGAGTGCGTCAGACCGCGCGCCTCGAATGATCGCCGGGCAGCGTCCAGCTGGAGGACGAACGCCTGGTCGAACCATGGGCCCCAGGCACCGAGGCGCTCCAACGACTGGGAAGGGTAAAGAAACTGCATCGCGTCGGCCTCCAGTTTTGGCCACTGCGCCGGTGGGGCGTCCAGTTGCGCCAGGAAGCAAGGGCGGCAGGGGAGGGGGTCAGAAGGACGAGGAACGATTGACTGGAGGGGGGAGGAAGCGGGAGGACAAGGACGACGAGGTGGAATTCTGCCCAAAAGACAGACAATCCATGGAGGACAAGAACAATTGCACTCCTCCTGTTCCTCCTCTTCCTTATCATCACCATCACCATCAGCATCATCATCACCACCACCACCACCATCATCATCAGCAGCATGATCATTAGCAGCATCAACATCATCATCAGCATCACCATCATCGTCATCATCATCAGCAGCATCATCATCATCATCACCACCATCACCATCACCATCACCATGACCATCATCCTCATCCTCATCATCATCCTCATCATCAACAGCATCATCATCACCATCATCATCAGCAGCATCATCCTTCTCCGCCTCCTCCTCCTCCTCCTCCTCCCCTCCTCCTCCTCCTGCGTAACATACTCTGGTTGGCGACCGTATCTCCCTCTTTCTCAATCTCGCCCGAGCATGTTCGAGGACGGTGGCGCTGCCACCCTCATGGCCATGCTCTCGAGTGGAGCTGGCTTGGACGAGGCGCATCGACTCCCTGCGCATCATTGCGATAGGGGGTGAAACAGAATG